TGCCCAGGTCACTCTTGGTGAGATCAGTCTGGACTCCTTTGATCTCTTCCTTGAGGAGGAAAGTTCTGAAAAAGACTCCCACGATTGTGAGACACCCACCATAGAAATGCCTCTTTTGAAAGTGCCTTCTTGCAAGGAAGACTTAGAAAACAAGTTATTAGGAGGAAACAGAGAGGTAGGCGCTGAGGTTTTGTCCAGTCCCAGGTTCAACGGTTATCGGCCCAAGCACATTCCTTATATTTCAAGAATCTGACTTGGGGTGTTTTGGTCTCATCCGAAAAGCGATAAGAGTAACCTTAAGGATTTCCATAGGCATCTACTCTCACCAGGGCCAACGTTTTGCATGAAAAGATAAAAAATGGCACTAAAAGATCAATGTTCTGCCTTTAGCCAAATGGCAGGAGTCAACTTGCATCCTTGAAACAGTGTTGTAGTTAGACTTGTTGTTGTTGTTGTTTCTAAGTATATCTTTCTTCATAGCTGTTTGATATATGATTGTTTCCCCTCCCCTGGCTGATCTATGACAATAGTTGAGGCAAGAAGGGACAAGAGTTCCCCCCATTGTCCACATTAGCCAAAGGAACTCTTTCTGTGAAAGAGAAATGGAAAGAAGAGGAACTGGAATTGGCTTTTGCATCCTTTTCTTTCTATATCAGAGTTTGGGTGGTGCCAAGACCCAGGGGCCTGGTCTACCTCATTTTCACATGCACCAAAGCCTGGCAGGTTGCACCTACCTCTTCTTTTCCAAACCAGAACTAACTAGAAAGTATTTCCAACCCCAGTCTGCTTCCTAGATCAAAAACAGCTTTCATTGCAGACTTTGCCACAAAAAAATGGAAACCTGTTCCCAAACAGAGCCCTTATGTCTTTATCCTCCAAGCAAAGAATCAGATCCCAGCTCAGATCACCAAGTGAGGCCTTCCCATCAGTATATGTCAGATACAGTGCTACAAAAATGGTGCAAGTAAATCACCCATAGTAACACCTTTTCCCAATGTGGTGCCCTTCAAATCTGTTGGACCACAGCTTCCATTATCTTCAGCCACATCTAGCTCCCCCCTCCAAATGAGTTGCATTGCAACTGCCATCATTCCCAGTCAGCACCAGTGGGTTGGTTTTTAAAAAAAAGTATTTACAACATTAGGTTTACTCTAGCATACGTCCAGATTACGCTAGGTTAGGAACGGTTGTATCTAGCCAGTCAAAGTCCCCACAAGTTATGGAAATATCCCTGCATAGGTCCAAGAGCTATCAAAAGATGTTGTCTGAACAGAAACTGGAGCCTTTCAAAGGGAGGCAAGGCTATTTTTGCACAAGACCTGTATTCCTTGACTGAGTCAGGTATGTTCCTTAAAAGGCTGCTACCTGATTCTTCACACCTTCGCTTCTACATGATGTAGGGCATAGAGAGACAACCTGGTACTCTCCAGGTGTTTTGGACTATAGCCTCACTCAGCCTGGCTGATATTCAGGGATTTGGAAAGATGTAGTTGAAAATTTGGGTAGGGAAGTACTGGATTGACTACCCCTGGTGTAAGGAGATGAAGGGGTTATTGGGAACATGTCTCCTGAGTCTAAACCTGGTGGTAGATCTCCATCCCCTGTGTCAGGAGAATTTTCTCCCAGGAAAAATGCCCCTAAATCCTATCTCCATTTAAGTCTTTCATGGAGCCTAGTTGGATCTAAGGGTAAGGGACTGTCTGTCTCTTGAATGTTCATCTTGGGTCTCCAGTTTCAAGCCAAGAACATGGCATACTTCTTTCTTTTCGGACTTGACTTGTGTATTAGATCCTAACTCAGTATTCAGTGTACCTAAACTGGTTGTGCATATTGATTTGTGCATGGGAACAAATACTAGTGGAAAACAGACAGGGAAGAAGATGTTTGTGCGAGAAAATCACCACCAAAGAATCAAATTTAGGGCAAATTGGTGCTATTTGCAAGGATGCAAATCTCTTCCCCAGCTGTCATCCCTATTCATGGGATCAGAGAATGGAGGAGAAAGATTTTCCTTTCTCTTCAAATGAACCCTTTAATTCTAGACCTTACTTGCAACAACAGTTTCTGCATTGTGTACAACATGCTAAAGAATGCTTGAGGGACGAACCAAAGTTAGATGCACTAATATAATATAATATAATATTTTAACTTGGAAATAAAAGTTGTGATGGAGCTTGCTTGTAGCTAGGTTGGGTTGCCAGAGTAAAAACTGGAGGGGTCTAATGCCATTAAAGATTGTATAGAAAGGGGAATTTCAGCAGGTGTAGCTTGTCATGAAACCAGGTAAAATGCAAAACCAAGTGAAATTCCTTCTTCTGCACAACATTAACACAAGAGCCTGCTCCAGTTTTTGCTCTGGCAACCCTATTCATAGGCTTTCACTGGTCTTTTGAGAAAGATAGCTGTCTAGAAATGCAGATGTTGACGTTGTTATGGCACTTATTCTGACAAATGTTTTTTATCTTTGTATTAACTTTGTGTGTGTGTGTGTGTCTATATACCTCATACCAATTCATGGTTGTCCAAAGCTGCTTTCAGTCTTCCCTTTTACCTTCATCATCATGCTGAGTGTGTGAGAAATCCAACACCTTTAGCTACTCTTGGAGCATATCCACACTATTCAATTACAGCAGTTTGATACTGCCTTACTTGTCATGGTTTTCCATCCCTATGGGACCCTGGGATTTGTAGGTTGGTGAGGGACTTGGAATTCTCATTTGGAAAGCCCAAGTCCACTCTCCTAAACTACAGTACTAGAGGTTGCTGGCAGGGAACTCCAAATACTTTATCAAGCTACAAATCCCAGGATTCCTCAGGATGCAGCTGTGTCAGTTCAAGTTCAATCAATCTGCTATAAATGGGTAGTGCAGATATAGAGTTAGAAATGTTTAGAGCTATCCAAGCAGTATTTTCTTATGGAAGTTTACTGCGGCTGCATCTGCACTGCAGAAATAATGCAGTTTGACACCGCTTTAATGGCCATGGCTCAATGCTATGGGATTCTGGCAGTTGTAGTTTTGTGAGATGCTTAGCCTTCTCTGTCAGAGAGCTCTGATGCCACAGTGCACTATAAATCCCAGCTCCCATTGCACTGAGCCATGGAAGTTAAAGCAGTGCCAAACTGGATTATTTCAACAGTGCAGATGCAGCCTGTGACAGAGTTTGCTGCACACATAGACATGTCTGTATTGTTGTCCCTGAAATTCCTTTTTACTGGTGATGCCACAATTGCTTCCAACCGAGGTGGTTCCTTTCCCAAGACATCAGCAAAACCATCTTGGTTTTTCCTCTCTAAAAGGAGAAATGGCTGTTGACTATCCAGTCTAGACATCTCCCATGGATTTCTTGCTTTTGCTGCTGCGTCAGGAGATGAGGTTGCAGTAGCTGCTCTGGAGTGGCCATGCTCCTTCACTTCATTTGTTCACCCAGTAGTGCTCCACCTTTTGTGGTGAAGAGGATTGTAGGTGCGTCGCACAACCAGGTGAACAGAGGCGTGTGAAAGGAATGGGGAGGAGGTATCAGGAGCTGTTGTGGTTTCGTTGTCTGTCTGCCGACTGTTTGACAGCTCTTCCACACTGCAGAAATAAAGGAATTTGATACTACTTTAATGGTCATGGTTCCATCCTGTGGAATCCTGGGATTTTTAGTTTGGTGAGGTATTCAGCCTGATCTGCCAGACAGGTCTGGTGCACCGTTCCGGGATTCTGTAGAATACAGTCATGGCAATTAAAGTGGTGTCCGACTACTTTATTTCTACAGTGTGGATACTCCCCAAAGGGAAGAATTTAAAGCAGGTGGTTCTCAACTCAAGAGGCTCCGAATGGGGTTGGACTTCAACACCCATCATCCCCACCTAGCATGGCCAATAAGCAGGGATGCTGGGAGTTGAAGAACATCTGGAGCTGTCACCTCACAGATGGGGAAAACCTCCAGGCTGGATGGTGGCAGCCATACCAAGAAACTGCAAACATGTCTTGCCTTCTTGTTAACAATGTTTACTATTGCTAAGGAAAGCATGTTTCATATTTTATATCCTTTAATAAAAGAAAAATCGATAACATTTTCAATAAAAATCCTCTCAAGGGTGTTTCTTGTGTGAATAAGAGTCCTAAACACTCAAAGAGAAATTAAAGTGCCCATTTCCATAGAGCGAAGGAGACTAGCAAATGCATTTTATTAGTTTGGTTAAGAACTTTCTGTTCAAAGTGAGCGGAAGCAGATCGGTGTGAAAGTCTTCATTAAATGTGAAATTTAATGTTGCTGCGGACTGTTTTGTCTGTGCAAAGTTGGAGAAAAGAGTGCTCCTGAGATGCCATGGATGAAACTGTGCAACAGAAGAGATGAACCCAGAAGAGTATGTAACCAGAAGGCGAAGAGATGCATGCAAGGGGACATGCTCTCTGAAATGTTTCTCACTAGGAACTCAATTCCCTTCTATTAGGTTAATAAAAAGGCAGGCACTGAGCTATTGACACAGATGAGTGGCTCTCTTTTGCTCTGACAACAAGTCCTAAACCAGTTCAACAAAGAGGTCAAGGGAATAAACTGCTCTCTAATGAGACAGACCTGTTGGATAACTTCAGGGAAGGATAACAGCCGTAGCCAAGGAGTGCCATGTGATAACCTAAATGGGAATTTGTGGAGCTGGGCGGCTGGAGGAGGATTTGTGTATTGGTAAGATCCCTGTTGGAGGAAAGGATGCCATCTTTACGTGCCACATACCTGGAGGATGCTACGGGATTATATGGCTCTGAAGATGCACACACAGAACCCTCTGTCAGTCAAGGACTTGGGTCACTTAGGAATAGAAGGACAGGGATATGTCCCTGTTAGTGTTGTGTTGTTCTAATGCACCTTCATGATGTTTCTGAATTATGGCGATCCTAAGGCAAACCTATTGTGGGGTTTTCTTGGCAAGATTTGTTCAGAGGAGGTTTGCCATTGCCTTCCCCTGAGGGTGAGAGAGTGTGACTTGCCCAAGGTCACCCAGTGGGTTTTAATGGCCGAGCAGGGAATCGAACCCTGGTCTCCAGAGTCCTAGTCCAATGCTTAAACCACTATGCCATGCTAGCTCTCAGCCCTTACGCTTGCATAAGTTCCCCTACAGAAACAGTTGAATGTTTTTGCCCAATATGGAACATCTGCATTCAGTCTGGGGTTGTGAAAGGGAAGTTGCCCATGTGGTAGCATTGCACACCCTGTGCATTGTGCATGGATGTTGATTTTTGCATTTGTACCTATGTGCATTTAGCATGCATGTGCAGGCACATTTGGGTCGGCATTCACTTGCACATTTTGCCATCTTGGTTCAGTTGCACAGTGTTGCCCTTCAGTGCAAGCAAGCGCTGCATAGCACTATGTATGCAGTTTTCCCGATGAGGAGATTTCCACTACTCAAGCCCAGTGCACCATCTCAGCCCAGGTTTTTGTCTTCCTCTCTCACTCTAGTTGCACTCTCATGCATGCAGCTTTGACTTTCCCCACTGAGTGAAAAGCAGGGACGGCCCAAACATTAAAAATAGTGAGCCAACTCCTGCAGGTAGAAGACAGAGAGGGTGTTCCACCTCTGTTCCTCTTGAGCCCTGGATTTAGAAGAGAAATGCTGCTCCTAGAGCCATCCAAAATCAGGATTTTCCTTCATTTCACACACACACCATTTGCTTTATAGACGCAGAAGTGAAGAAAGCTAGTGTGGTGTAGTGGTCTGAGTGATGGATGTAGAGACTAGGGTTCAAATCCTTCCTCATCCATGGAGATCCACTGGGTGACACTCTCACATTCAAGAGGAAGGCAATGGCAAATCTCCTTTGAACAAAGAAAACCCTGTGATAGGATTGCCATAACTTTGGAGTTGACATGACAGCACATAACAATATAACAACAACAAGCAGAAGTGAGAGGGTCACAAAAACAGGCTGCAAACAGGCTCTATGTTGCCCACCCTCTATTTTCAGTGAGTTTTTTTCCAGGATCCTCCATGGATACCAAAATCCGTGGGTGTTCAAGTCCCATTAAATACAATTTCATAGTGAAATTGTGTCCCTTATATAAAATGGCAAAATCAAGGGTTTTAGTCATAGATGGTTGAATCTGTGCACAAGGAATCAGTGGATATGGATGGCCAGCTGTAGTAAATTCAGAGGGTTTGGGTTTTTAAAGAGATTGTTCTCACATTTTATTTCATACTCTCTAAATCTTAATGGAGAGGTAGCTCATTTCACCTTGCACCCAGGGATATGTGTCTTTTTTAATATATATATATATATATATTGTGTTTTTGGATTTCCTTTGGAAATAAAATTGTGAATGGCTTTTGGACAAAATATGTGATACATATGAAAAGAGTATCAGAACTGCACCCCGATCCTTTCTGGTCCTTTTGGACAAAACATGAGATGCACATGAAAAGAGTCTCAAAAGCACACCCTGGTCCTTCCTCCTGTGGTGATATCCAAGGTTTTCAGAATGATTCCCTTTTCACCACCTGAAAGAGGAGCCCCAGAATTGCAGAAGTCCGGCCAGCCACAAGCTGAGATGTGGAGCTCTCCTTCTGCCGGTTGAGGTAACCAAAGAGGGGGAAGAGAAAAAGCCACCAGACCAGAAAAACTTGCCTCTTGTCATGAGGAATGCCAGCAGGAAATACCTTATCAGGAAATGCACTTGGCTTTGGTTCAGTGTTCGTGGAGGAGCCTGAGTCTTCTGAGTCATGCGCCTCCATTCGCCCGTGGCACATACACTGGGAAGAGGCTGTGGACTGACATTTGCAGCCACAGGTTCACTTTGCTTCGTGCGCTGCAGTGGGACATGAGACTTCACGTGAACCTTTTGGCCAGAGTAGCCCACAATCACCAACACTCGAATCTGGATCCTTCCCAAAAGTGATCCGGCCAAGACTAAGGAAAAATAGCCGCGCTTCACAGACTAATCCTGCCGTGCCATTAATGAAGGAACTTCTTGTCTTTTTGATGTTATGTTCCCTAGTGGGTAAGTAACTTCTACTTCAGTTCCTCTTTTCTTTCCTTCCTTCCTTCCTTCCTTTTTTCTTAGCCCAGATTCTTTTAGGATGGATCCATGTTGCAGAATTATAGCAATTTGACACTACTTGCATTGTCACGGCTCCCTCCCACGGGATCCTAGGATTTGTACTTTGGTGATGTATTCAGCATGATCTTTTGGAGAGCTCTGGTTCCTCCCCGGATGACAAATCCCAAGATTCCACAGGAGAGAGACATAGCACTTACAGTGGTGTCAAACTGCTTTAATTCTGCAGCGTGGATAAACCTTTAGTCACAGTGACAGTTTGTCAATCAAGAGAACACAATCAATTTTGCTTGACATCCCATCCATTGCCTAGCAAACAGATAGCAATGCAAAAATCAAAGTACATCTCAGGATTTGCCTCACAATAATCCCCGATGTGTAATAGAGAGATTAAGAGTATGAACAGATTGTTGTGCAGCTCCTAATTTGGATCCGAAAGCCCCTCGTTCTACTTTCGCCTCAGCTGCACATTTTTTAGGAGGAAGAGCTGGGAAACGTTGCTTTTTTGGAGCACACTTCCCAAATTTCCTAATCACGAGTCATGCTGGCTAGGAGTTTCTGAAAACCGTAATCTGAAAAAGGAACTTTTCCAAACTGTATTAAGCAGCCTTTCACAAGACAATGCCCTTAAGAAGCTTAACCTTCTGTTTCTTATATAAAGAAGAAGGAGTGGTGGCACCTGAAGACAAACCAATTTTTTGCAGCCTAAATGCTTGCAGCCTGCACTCCACTTTTTGAGAAGCGGGTGCATTTGATGAAGAAAGCTGATGCTGAAATAAATTGGTGGGACTTCAATTCACCAACCAATCCATCATTTTGTTGATACAGCTTGAGCATCCCTAATCGGGAAATGCAAAATCTGAAATCCTCCAAAAACTGAAACTTTTTGCTGGCAGCCACCTGTTTCCATCTTCAAGACAGTGGCTTTGGCACTCCTGTTTGTTCACGTCTCATACACAACACAAGAAGCGAATGAACAAGATGCAAGGCTGGAGAGAAATAGAAGGATCTGTGAAATGGATGGAGGTGTGGATTCATGCTGACCGCAACATTTGGATTCCTGCCATTTCACAGATCTTTCTCCAGCCATGTCTCTTGCCAGCCTTACATCTCTCACTTCTCGCCAGCCTCTCAAATATTGTGCATACTATGCTACTTATGTTGCTTATGTGTATTGTGTGTGTAGCATGCCTTCAAATCATTTCTGACTTATGGTGACCTTAAGGCAAACCTATCGTGGGATCTTCTTGGCAAGATTTGATCAGAAGAGGTTTGCTATTGCCTTGCCCTGAGGCTGAGAGCATGTGACTTGTCCAAGGTCATTCAGTGAGTTTCACGTCTGAGCTGAGAATTGAACCCTGGTCTCCATAGTTATAGTCCAACACTCAAACCACTACACCACACTGGCTTTAGTTATATGCAAATACAGGTACAGTGGATGCAGCATCCATGGATACAAAGGACCAACTATATATTGTATTTAAATCTATGTTGTACCTTACTTCAAGCCTTGGGGAAAGATGGGTAAGAAATAAAATTTATTATTATACAGTGGGCCCTTGATATCTGCTGGGATTATGGTTCCAGGACCCATGGATACTAAAATCTGTGGATGCTCAATTCCCACTAAATGCAAATATAAACTGGCAATATTGCAATGCAGAGGGGTGGGGTAATAATAATAATAATAATAATAATAATAATAATAAAGGTTTGCTTTCTAGAATTTAAACATACATTTTGGAATATTTCCAAGCTGTGGATGGTTGGATCCGTGGATAAAAAAATTCACCAATACAGAGGGCCAACTGTATTTTATTATTACTTATAAGTGCTGGCCTGAGAGCTTGGAAAAGTTACTTTTCTGGACTGCAACTCCCGGTATTTGTTTACTCAGATTTTTAGAGGGTCAGAAGTTGATGTTGGCATGTTTTCTCAATGCCAATCCAGGAAGTATCTCAGTGTCTTTGGTTGCCACACTATTTATGAAAGCAGCCAGTGTCTTTGGCTACTAGCCCCACCTTGTTGCATTCCTTTCCAGCAAGTGGGAAAACCCCAGCAAAGCCTATCCATTTCTGCAGTTCTTGTAACCAAGATCTGATGAGGCGATGGCTGTTGTGGCAACAGTCGGCAGCTCTGAGTGTGCAACAAGTCAAAGGCAGTAGCTGCCTTTTCTCCTAAAACCAGAGATGTTATGCTACGGGGGAGAAAAAGCACACGCAAACACACCTTCAAGTGGCCACTTCAGCCCTTGGCATTGTTTGCTTTCGGCCGGCGCTCCCAGGAGCAGAGTTCATGAAGCAGAGTTTGTGCCAAAGTCCTGGACAACAATTCATAAAACCAAAAGTGGACTTCATTTATCCCTCAAGGTGCCAGTTTTGCTTTCTTCCTGGCCCTGCAGAGAATAAAGTGGAGTCCTGGGGTTGGATGTGGCCTTCCAAAAAGCTGCTTTTATGTCCCTTGGCTTTGTGGGTTACCATTTTTCTGGACAGGAAAAAAAAAGGATCTGAATTGCTTGTTGCAAAAGTCTCCAGAAGAGGCAATTAACATTTTAAAAAAGTTACAGGGATCCCACCGTTCAATGTTACAAAATACTGTACCAGGTTTTTTTCCAAAACCAAAATGAATTTTCTGGGTTTTTTAAAAAAATATGTTTAGCAGTCCATGTGGTCCCCAGGGGGTCCCAGGCACAGAAAACTGGCCCCCAGACATGCCGCGTTTGCCCACACCTAAAATAAATGGATTCGAACCCTGGTCTCCAGAGTCCTAGTCCAACACTCATACCACTACACTGAGCTGAGTCTCAATCGAATATATATCTAGTATTTTAAAATTATTGGTATTTCTAGTCCCAAATTGATTTTGCTCTGTGCCACCCTGAGATTCTTGGATATAGGTCAGGATGTAATTAATTGATTGATTAATTAAGTAAATGCCACCCTGGGAGAGTCTCTCTGAAACTCACTCCCATAGGATTCAGGTAAGGAAATCCAGAAAATTACGCGATGGGTGTAAACAAAGTGGTGAGGCTACACATTTTATTATTTATTCTGATCACATTTTATTATCTAGTCTGATCAAATTGCTCCATATTTTTTTTTTTCTTCAGAGAATTCACGGACGGAGAGATCGCCATTCATTATAAAGGCAGCATTTTTGTCCACAAACTTTGAAAATATCTTCACGTGGGAAAGCGAGGAGGAAACCTCCCCAGGGACGCTCTATTATGTACAATATAAAAAGTAAGGAGGCTTTGCTTTTTCTTTGATGGCTGGTATAATTTTGCAATGAAATCCACTTGTACTGGAAGGCAGGAAGGGGTTTGAGAAACAGTTCCATGTCAGTGGCATGATGAATCTGCTCCATGGTTTAGTCCAAACTTTTTGAGGCAGTTCTCCTTGGGGATGAACCTATTTGGAGGATAGCTTCTTTCAAGTTCAGACTAAAATCCAAAGTGGATGGGGCTTTCTTGGCATGTTTCTTCAGAGGGGCTTGCCACTGCCATCCTCTAAGGCTGAGAGAGTGTGACTTGCCCAAGGTCACCTGGTGGGTTTACATGGCCGAACCAGGATTTGAACCCTGTTCTCCAGAGTCATCGTCCAGTGCTCAAACCACTACGCCACACTGGCTCTTGTTAAATTATTATTAGAACCCCTTTATTTGATGTACAATCCACCCTTTTGACAGATGCAAGCATATGATGCAGAAATTAAACAGAGCAATGAACAGCAAGACAAAAATCTTCAGAAACCCATTTTCAGGCTTGAACTTTTCAAAAAGACCAACTGCTTCATCCTCTGCAATTTTCACTTAATTGCTCAAAGTGCATGCAAAATACTAGAAAGCACGGGAGATTCTGGAAGTGACTGGAAAAGAAAAGTAAGAAAAACAAGCAAGTTAGTTGTCTCTTTTTCCTTCAACACTGGGGTGAGATGGATTGATAATACAGCCCTGAGACCAGAAGTGGACAAAACATGTGCATCCAGATGTTGCTGGACTGTAGCTTCCAGCATTCCTCACCGTTGTCTAGGATAGTGACTCCATACTCTGGTCCTCCAGATATTTTGAACTTCAGCTCCCAGATTTCTCTACTATTGGCCAAGTTGAATGGAGCTTCTGGGAAATGAAATTCAAAACATCTGGAGAAGCAAAGTTTGCGAACCAATGGTCTAGGACAGTGATCTCCAAACTTTGGTCCTCCAAATGTTTTGGACTTCAGCTCCCAGAATTCCTGACTATTGACCAAGCTGGCAGGGGATTCTGGGAGCTGAAGTCCAAACTTTGGAAGACTAAAGTTTGGGAACCACTGGTCTAGGACTAGCAAGGAATGATGAAACCTGCATTTCAACATCTGGAGTGCTGCACTTTGCCCATCCTTGTTATAGATCTAGTTTGTGTGCATGTGTTTTTTTCCCCCAGGGACTGTGATATCCAGAAACTAGCACCTAACTAATTTGGGAAATTAATTTTAAAATTGCTTGGGGTTGCTTTCTGTTCCGTCGGTTCCATCGTGCTGCCAGACTCACTGACGTGTCCCTTGCAATAGAGTCTTGTTTTTCCCTACAACGTGTTGTACTTTGGATCCATCCTGAGCATCAGCATATCCGAACTTGGCATCCAGAGTGCTTTCTCTCCAACCTTTCCAGTAACCAGAGCTGCTTTCTTGGAAGCTATGGAGAGTTTCCATGGATAATGAGCACAAAATGGAGGCACTCATTAGGCCCTGATTTCGTAACTGTTGCGTTCTTCTTCATCGCAATCAAAGTAGAGCAAAGTCAAACAAACAGGTAAACAGCTCAGGTGTGTACTTGTGTAAGGCAAAGGAAGGAAGGAAAGGTATTGACTCATATGTGACTTGTTTCAATGTGATACGTAAGCACTAGGCAGCCTGAAGGCTCCACTCTCTGGCCACTCCCAACATAGTAAAAGCAATGAAAGAGAAGGACTGTCTGGTGAAGATTTTAATTCCCTAGCATTGAACAAAGGCAGTTTTCCCTTAACATTGAACAAGGGCAGTTAAAGAAGTGTCCAACTGGATGATTTCTGCAGTATGTTTTTGGCACTAAGAGCCAAGCATTTGACACTGAACTCTGTAAGAAGCTTTTCCCAGTATTTTCTCTTTATACAAACTTTAGTTACTTAAGATGACAATCTGATACACTACTCAGAGGGAGAAGTAGTGATGGTCTTGGAAGGAACACCAAGGGCCATCATTTTAGACCAAATCCCCACTAATGCAAGAAATCCATAGCTAAGGACGCATCTACACTGTAGAAGTAATGCAGTTTGACATCACTTTAAGTGCTGTAGCTCTGTCCAATGGAATCCAGGGATCTGTAGCTTTACAGGGTGTTCAGCCTTCTCTGCCAAAGAGTGCTGGTGCCTCACAAAACTACAGCTCCCAGGATTCTGTAGGATGGAGCCATGGCAATTAAAGTGGTGTCAAATTGCATTATTTCTACAGTGCAGATGCACCCACAGCTCTGTTTGACCAATGGAGGACCTACAAAAGGCAAGAGAAGTATTTTTCCTAGGAATCTCTAGGTTCTCCATTGCGACTCTTTGATCTACTTTCAGCAGAGTTGTGCTGGAGGACTTAGAAGAGATTCCTAGAGAGAATGTATTACTCAAATATGTAAATAATCAAATCTTATTGTTGTTGTTGTTGTTGTTATTATTATTTCTTACCTGCCCCTTCCCATGGATTGAGGTGGGGGACAATAACAAACAAACAACACCAGTTAAAACCCATCAGTTAAAACACACATCAATTTGAAAGGACAAATAAGAGGTGTACATATTAAAACAATCCACATCCAAAATTCATCATTGAAAATTCACAATTTAAAAATCACCTGGAAAGTCAAAAGTCAAAGTCACAAATGTCGAAGTCGAAATGACTGTACACTTTGAAAGGAATCTCTTAGGGTCTGTGGCATCGGTGCTGCAACCTGTTCCCTGATCTACCTCCACACCAGGTGTAAGGAGTGTTATAAAGGGCATTATTATCTTGTTTTAGGTACGGGAAAGCGTGGCAGGAGAAAAGTGAATGCCAGAACATCACCCGACGCTTTTGCAACCTCACACGAGAGACAGAAAACTTCTCTGAGAATTTCTACGCCAGAGTGAGAGCCTTCATCCACAACTGTTGCGCCTCCGACTGGGTCATGTCCTCAAGGTTCTTCCCATTAAAAGATAGTAAGTGTTTCCAGTGACTAAAGCTGGGAACATGGTGTGGACAAAGTGTAGCCTCCAAGAGTCTACCAAGAGGTAGACATTTTTTTCTAATATCCTCTAGAGCATGTGGTAGGAGGCAATTCAATCCTATTTTCACCCCTCCCAGCCATTGGAGGCCCAGGAGATGGCAATTTTTTAAAAATTGGAAGTGACTTCTGGCCTGTTGAGCCT